CCTAAAGAGCAGAGACTGAATGTCAGAGAACACCAGACACATCACCCTCTAGACTCGAGAACTGACAGCAGAAGACGAGAGGAAGAGCAGAGACTCAGGGAAGCTCCAGTAACCACCATCTGATACCCTCACCTTCATGCTACAGAAGCAAATGAAAGTTGTGCTACTTTCAGATAAGCTAAGAAGGAGGCTTCCTGATCATAGTAAGTGAAACTTTCTCTCATGTTAACAATTAGGCCAAGGGCATTAGCTACAGAGAGGATCCACTGATAAATACAGAATATCAGAAGAGCGAAGAGGAAGCCACACAGATATCTTGTTTCTTCAAATATCAGAAACTTCTGCATGACAGCAGGAGAGCAATGGATGAACTCCACCTCGCCCAAAGGTTTAGTCCAAAAAATTCCTGTTGGCATTTGCACCAAATAAGGCTCCCCGTACTTCTGGCATCATCTGCTGGGCTATAAGATCCAGCCGGCTTTCTAGGGTATTGGAAACTTTTACTTTACGATCCCCATTATAGATCTCAACTCCACCAGCTATTTCCTCAGGCAGGTAGGTCTCCTGATCAATTTGGACATCAACATCTTTTTTGGTGGCAATTTTGTACATAGGAATCGCTTTTTGCACTGCAGCCTTTACCAGAGGGAAATCCTGCTTCCTGCAATGAACAGTCATTCAGGGCTCTAACAATTGGTACAAACCCTGAAGGACCAGTCCATCCAGCAGCACCTGGTACCTGGTTGTATCTTTTACCACTTTGCTGAGTCTCTGTTTTGCTTCATTTAGTAGGTCTGTAATAAGGTCATCTCAAGATAAAAAGCTTTTGCACAGCAAAAGAAACAGTCAACAAAACCAAAAGACAACTGACAGAATGGGAGAAGATATTTGCAAACGACATATCAGATAAAGGGCTAGTATCCAAAATCTATAAAGAACTCATCAAACTCAACACCCAAAGAACAAAGAATCCAATCAAGAAATGGGCAGAAGACATGAACAGACATTTTTCCAAAGAAGACATCCAAATGGCCAAGAGACACATGAAAAAGTGCTCAACATCGCTCAGCATCAGGGAAATCCAAATCAAAACCTCAGTGAGATACCACCTCACACCAGTCAGAATGGCTAAAATTAACAAGTCAGGAAACAACAGATGTTGGCGGGGATGCGGAGAAAGGGGAACCCTCCTACACTGTTGGCGGGAATGCAAGCTGGTGCAGCCACTCTGGAAAACAGTATGGAGGTTCCTCAAAAAGTTGAAAATAGAGCTACCATATACGATCCAGCAATTGCACTACTGGGTATTTACCCCAAAGATACAAATGTAGGGATTCGAAGGGGTACGTGCACCCTGATGTTTATAGCAGCAATGTCCACAATAGCCAAACTATGGAAAGAGCCAAGATGTCCATTGACAGATGAATGGATAAAGAAGATGTGGTAAATATATATACAATGGAATATTATGCAGCCATCAAAAGGAATGAGATCTTGCCATTTGCAATGACGAGGATAGAACTGGAGGGTGTTATGCTGAGTGAAATAAGTCAATCGGAGAAAGACATGTATCATATGACCTCACTGATATGAGGAATTCTTGATCTCAGGAAACAAACAGAGGGTTGCTGGAATGGGGGGTGGGGTGGGAGGGATGGGGTGGCTGGGTGATAGATATTGGGGAGGGTATGTGCTATGATGGCTTTTATTGAACAAGAAGCCAATGAGAAAGCAGAGGAAATAGATGTGAAGGCAGAGGAAGAGTTCAACACTGAGAAAGGTCGTCTTGTGCAAACCCAAAGACTGAAGATTATGGACTACTACGAGAAGAAAGAAAAGCAGATTGAGCAGCAGAAGAAAATTCAGATGTCTAATTTGATGAATCAAGCAAGGCTCAAAGTCCTCAGCATAATTACTTTTAGATACATCTGTATTGTTGTATATATCAGTGGCTCTTCCTTTTTATTGCCGAGTAGCATTCCATTGTGCGGATATACCACACTTTGTTCTGATGGGTATTTGGGTTTTATGCAGTTTTCCAGTGAGCATACACTTTCATTTCTCTTGGGTAAACAAATATCTAGAAGTTGAATGGCTGAGTTATACAGTAATTATATGTTAATCTTTTAAGAAAATGTAAACTGTTTCCAAAGTGCTTGTACTGAACATCTGTGAATAAAAAGTTTTACTTACTCCTCTCAATATGGATGCCTTTTATTTATTTTTCTTTCATGATTGCACTTGCTTGAACCACCAGTACCACAGAAATAACAGAAGTGGTAAGACCACATATCCTTGCCTTGTTCTGATCTTAGGAGAGAAACATTCAGTTTTTCACCATTAGGTATGAAGTTGGCTATAGGATTCATAAAGGGATGTATATGCCCTTTTTTAGATTAAGGAAGTTCTACTCCTAATTTGCTAGAATTTTAATCATGAATGGATGTTGGATTATGAAAAGTATTTTTTATGCATCTATAATTCTCTTTCTAAAATATAAATGTAATCATTTGCTCTCTTGCCCATCAAAATCTTCCCATCACTTTTAGAATAATGTCCAGGTTTTTTATCATAATTATGTATCTCCCACCACTTCTCAAAACATACCCTGTGTTATACTGCCACCAAACTACATATACAGTTGACCCCTGAGCAACACAGGTTTGCACTGCATGGGTCCATGTATAGGCAGATTTTTTATATATATAAATACAGTACAGTACTGTAAATGTATTTTCTCTTCCCTATAATTTTTTTTAAGATTTTATTTATTTGAGAGAGAGAGTGAGCGAGAGAGAGAGAGAGCACAAGCCAGGGGGAGAGGCAGAGGGAGAAGTAGACTCTCCGGTGAGCAGGAAGCCCAATGCAACTTGCAACTCAGGGCTTGATCCCAGGACCCTGGGATCATGACCTGAGCCAAAGGCAGACGTTTAACCAACTGAGCCACCCAGGCGTCCCCTTGTGATTTTCTTAATGACATTTTTTTCTCTAGCTGACTTTATTGTAAAAATACAGTATATAATACATGTAACTTAAAGATCTGTCTTAATTGACTGTTTATGTTATTGGTAAGTCGTCTAGTCAATAGTAGCCTATTGTAGTTAAGTTTTGGGGTAATCAAAATTTATATGTGGATTTAACTGGGCCAGGGGTTAACACTCCTAACCCCACATTATTCAAGGGTCAACTCTAGTTCTATGAATGTATCAAATGCTATTTCAGGCCTCTGTGAATTTTCTCAGAAACCTGTTGTCCGGAATACCATCCTCCTCACCCCCTAACCCTTAAACGTGTCCTAGATAACCAATATTCAAGTGAACTCCAGCTGTCTTCTTTTAAACTCAACTGAAACATCACTTTGTGATCATTCCGTCTTCAGCGTTAAATTTGTGTTCATGCCTCTATTGTAGACGTTACTACCCTGCATATAATTATTTATTTCGTTGTCTCCCTCTTCAATAGATGAGTGAGGACAATGCAAAATGCTTAATAAAAAGTAGGCCCTCAAGGGGCGCCTGGGTGGCTCAGTTGGTTAAGTGGCTGCCTTTGGCTCAGGTCGTGATTCCAGGGTCCTGGGACTGAGCCCCACATAGGGTTCCATGCTCAGCAGGAAGCCTGCTTCTCCCTCTCCCACTCCCCCTACTTGTGTTCCCTCTCTTGCTGTCTCTCTCTCTGTCAAATAAATAAATAAATAAAATCTTAAAAAAAAAAAGTAGGCCCTTGATATAAGTGAAATAAGCCCTGTGAAACTCATTGAAGACTGAGAAGTTTTACAGAAAAAAATTTTTTTTTTTAAAGATTTTATTTATTCATTTGAGACACAGAGATACAGAGAGAGAGCGAGAGCAGGAACACAAGCAGGGGGAGTGGGAGAGGGAGAAGCAGGCTTCCCGCCGAGCAGTGAGCCTGATGTGGGACTCGATCCCAGGACCCTGGGATCATGACCTGAGCCGAAGGCAGACGCTTAACCATCTGAGCCACCCAGGCGCCCCAGAAAATTTCTTTATAAAAAGCTAAGACATTATTATTTTTATATCATATTCTCTTGCAAAAAATGTATTCTTTTCTAAAAATGACTATGCAATGCAAATATTTATGAGATCCATAGTACTAAGATAGTATAATTATTATCATCACAGCTCTGCTGATGCATTAATACCTAAAGCCAACATCAAAATCTAGCTCTATATTGTCCACCAGGGCCCCAGCAGGATACTTTACATATATTTACAAATATTAATTCATTTAATCCTCATGAAAACCTTGTAAGCAGGTCATATTATCTCCATTTTACAAATACAAAAACACAAGCACAGAGAAATTAAACCATGGAGCTAAAAGTAGCAAACCTTGTCTTTCAAACTAGGTAGCTGGGCTGTAGAGCCTAGTCTTCACTTCCATGATATATTTAATAATAACCTTTACAAAGCACAAAGTAAAGATACCATTTCCATTTTTGTTTCTTTAGCTATATTAACAGAGTATAGTTATATCTAATTGTGCTGCATACAAAAAACAAGTATGGCTTCCAGATTCTCCACAGCGGAATTATGACTATATTATGAAATATAAGGAACACAAAAATGTTTCTTATCAACTTGAAATGTTCACTGACAACTAATAACTCAAAAGCCATGGCTTTAAAAACACTGGCTTAAAAACTTAACCTTCCTTCAATTTAGCATTTTAGGAAAAACTATCAAATAAAAGTGAGTTTAAAATAATTCTGTGTGATACATGGGTTTTATATGTACATATTACAGTTGTAAGGACATTTCTGAATTCTCGTATATTGGGTGTGTGAAATGTTCCATGAAACTCGAATACTTGTACAGACTTCACTTTGGGATAACATAATAATTAAGAAGGAGTAAGCATGAAAAACAGGAGTTTCAAATAGCCTCCCAAGTTAAGTATCCTTAATAACTTCCCTATTAATAATTTAATATAGTTCTGAAGATAGTAATGACTCATTTAAAAGACTATATGAAGTAGATTACCTGCAAATGGAACAGAACTTTTTTGTTTTTTTCTATTTCTGATGTTTGTGATTGTTGTTGCTTTGCAACTTGTTCTACAGCATCAGTTAATGAAGATGTGCCTTGGTTAGCCAGAGCTGAACAAAAGAATAAAGTATATAATAAAAATGTAAGTTGCAAACACTCTAAGTTATTGTTTCTTCACACATAGTCATGAAAAATACGATGTTTCTCTAAATAAAGTAGATTTAGGGTTGGTAATATTACCTTTCTGACTACAAACAAAACCAAAATCAAAAGCCATAATAAGACACAATTCAGAATTGCCTACTGCAATGTTATACCTGTTCCTGTATGGAACAGGATAAATATTTTGATTGTCCTCATTTTTTTAATCCAGACCACTTATACATATGCATAATTACAGTGCTATCATAATAACCATATAGCAATTATAGTTGATGAATTTTCAGTACAGGCCTGCATTTTTAGGTTGTTATGCCTTTTCTAAACACCATGTAAGTTTCTTCCTGGAGAAATTTAATAGCTTCCCTCTATTCTATTTGGCTATACATTTTAACACAATTATCCTATCATACTACCTTTTTGTTGCTGCTTATCTTTTAATTATTTATTTCTTAAGATTGCTTCATTACCTTCTTCAGGAACTCCTTGACTCTTCCTTTCTTTGTTGCCTGACATTCTACTTTGTCTCTTTCTCCCTTTTTTGTTCACCTTCTTTATGCCTACAAAATAATCAATATTGACAATTTTTCACTCTTCTTTGTTTTTTCCCCCCATCATTTATCCTGGTGATACTGAAAGCAAATTCACTGTCAAATACCTCATAGGGATGGCAATGATATTTCATCTTTGTTCCAAGAATTAAAATACAATGGTTAAGTCAGAGAGTTTTAGAGAAAATAGAACTGTATTTGAATCTTGGTTCTCTTGCTTTTTAGCTGTTATGATTTTGAGCAAGTTTCTTAACTTCTTTGATCATCAGGGTCCTCATCTGTAAAACCTCACAGGACTGTCATAATAAAGTAATATATGTAGCATGCTTAGCATAGTACCTTACATATATAGTGAGTAATTAATTACTATAGACTCTGTCTAGGGTTTCCTTTGCTAGTTCCTCCTCAGCTTTCTCATCTAGGTCAGTGTCCCAGTGCTAAGTCCTTAGGCCTCTTCTCTATACTCACTCTTCAGGTGATGTCATCTAGTTGCATAGCTTTAAAATCCACTTATAGGTTTTATTTATTTATATCTCTAACTTGAACATCCTTCTTGAGCTCCAGACTCATTCTAAATTGCCTACTTGGTATCTTCCCTCGGATTTTTACAGTCATTTCAACTTAATATATCCCAGACTGAACTCTTGATGTCTCTGTTCACTCCATCACCACCACTAAACCTGCTCCTTCATAGTCTCTTCCTTTCAATAAATTACAAGTTTTTCTTGTTCAGGCCCAAATCCCTGGAGACATTAGCAAGGAGGCCTCTAGAAGAGTGTAGAGCCCATGGAAATTCAACAAGACTTGCCCAAGATAATCATAAATGAGAGCTCACTGTTGATGTTTCATAGGCTCTTTGGGAAATCCTTTAAGACATTTTCCAAGTATATGGCCCAGGATTTCTGCCCTGATTGTTTACTCAAAGGACAAACCAGAATCTCGACTTTTCTCTTATATGCTGCATGCAATTCTTTTAGCAAAACTCATTGGTTCTACGTTTAAATTATATTGGAATCCATTCACTGCTTATCACTTCTAAATAGTATCTTAGTAGAGAAGCCTTCCCTCATAACCTTTAAAACAGGACCTCTCCTCCTTCATTCTCCCATTTCCTTACCCTGCGTGATTTTTCTTTTTCTTTTTTTTTTTTTTAAAGATTTTATTTATTTATTTGAGAGAGAGAGAATGAGAGACAGAGAGCATGAGAGGGAGGAGGGTCAGAGGGAGAAGCAGACTCCCTGCCGAGCAGGGAGCCTGATGCGGGACTCGATCCCGGGACTCCAGGATCATGACCTGAGCCGAAGGCAGTCGCTTAACCAACTGAGCCACCCAGGCGCCCCAGCCTGATTTTTCTTAATAGCATTTGCCACCACTGATATTTTATATACATTTGTTTCTTTTCTATCTCCTTTTACTAATGTAAGCTCCACCAGGGCAGAGATCTTAGAACAGTGCCTGGCACTTACTTAACAGGTGTCTATTTGTAGTCTATCTCCACTTCAATTTACCCTGTTCTAATGATAGAATTATGCTCCCAAAATACTGTTCCCACCATGTCAACATCACAGCCAATCTTTCAACTCCCATCATAGATGGCATCTTCTTTAAGAAGTCTTTCTTGGTAGATATGATCCTTCCCTCTCTTTAGTGCAATTGTTTCTATATCTCTATAACAGTTTAGGTCATACAGTAAGATAGAGCTAGCTTTGAACTCAGGTTGTACCACTTACTACTTTATTAGGTAAATTCTTTCCAAGCTGGGCCTAAGATTCTTTATCTATAAAACAGAAACGATAGTAATAACTGTCTCATTAGGACTATTGGGAGGACTACATGAAATAATGCATGACAGCATTTAGCAAATTCCTGCTACTCAAAAGTTTTTGTTCTTATTATTTCCATTATTTTATACTCTATTTCCCTATTAAACTGTAAGCTCCAGGAAGACAGATATAGTGTCTTATACATTTTTGTATTCCCTAAAAAATTTGGTGAAGAAATCTAAAAAATGAAGAAAATTAGATCTATATAACAAAAAATAAAATAACTGGTACTTCTTGATCTCTATTTCTGAAGCAACATAAATTGAAAAACTCTTGGGTGACATTTATTTAAACCAACTATTTGTGAAAGGATATCTACTTTAAAATTGGGAAGGTTTTAGGGGCGCCTAGGTGGCTCAGTCAGTTAAGTGTCTGCCTTTGGCTCAGGTCCATGATCTGGTCATGGGTGGGACTGAGCACCAAGTGAGGCTCCCTGCTCAGGGGTGGAGTCTGCTTCTCTCTCTCCCTCTGCCCCTCTCCCCACCCTCCCCATTTGTGCTCTCTCTCTCAAATAAATAAATAAAATCTTTAAAAAAATAAAATTGGGAAAGTTTTAGTTTTTTCTGGATCTCTATTGTAGAAGATAAAAATGAAAACTACTGCCACCTACTGATAATTCATTACAATTGCTTAAATCAATGAAAAGAGAGTTTAGACTAGACAGTATCAATTACTCTTTCATTCAAACCACATATATAGGTACATATAATATGCAAGGTATTGTGAGGAATATAAAGATGAATTAAGTGACTCTGATTTAAAAAAACAGTATCTACAGTATTCCATAGTAAATGTCCAATTTACATCTAAAACACATTTAGAAAAAATATTTTTAACTAAGAAAATTAGCTTTACAGAAAACAATGTAATGCAGATACTATATTAAACTACCATTCTCTTATAATAACTATAGTCAACATTTATTGAGTACTTACAATTAACTAGCATTTTTCTAAGTGCTTTTACAGGAATTATCTTTATTTTCCCTCAGAGCAATCCTATAAGCTAGATATTATTTTTATTTATATTTTGTAGATGAGTAAACTAAGACTTGGAGAAATTAAGAAATTAGCCAAAGGCCACACATCCAACAAGTAGGAAGGATGGAATTTGAAACAATTAGGATCCAAATTAACATTTATTAGGCACTTAATATGTACTAAAGCACTGGGATAAGCATGATTTGTGCATTATCTCTTTTCCATTGAAGAGGCAAACCCCTCTATTTGACCCTTGGGAGAATTTAAAAAGGCCATGGTTCCAGCTTTTGGAAACTCATCATCTGGTACCTCCTCCACATTAATGAGCAAAATAAAGCAAGACTGTCAAAATACCCTGGGGCTTTTGAGAGCTTTTAGCTTAGAAGAATTAAGAGGAGGCAATTGTACATGTGCATCCATATCACATAGGCACTGTTTTTGATTCTGAATGGGAAAAGCTATCATGTGAACCTGCCAGGTAGTTAAAGTAGTTAAGTTTATAATTTCATTCTACCCCTTTAGAATAGATACTTTATCAGAAAACAGATAATTTTTCCTTGTGTGAAACTGTTTTCTAAGGGCAGGGGGCTTAATATCTAAAGCTGACATTTAACTGAGAAAGCTAAAAAATTAGCCTGGGGAAAGATGAGATAAAAGAGTTCCTTGGTATCAAGCAAATTTTAAATTATGGTCTATATTTGCCATAAGCATGATGAAATCAGATTTGAGTGGTTCAATTCCAACAAGATAATAGTGGGAAAAATGTGACACACTGTACAAATGAGTAAGAATAAGACATATTTCAGGTAAAAAAAAGACCATAAGTGTTTTCAACCACATGTTTTCAAGAGAAGTTACAACATTATCAGAGTCATCCAAAGGAATTAATTCATTGAATCATTAAAAATTTATTCATACCTATTATATACTTGTGTGTTAGGATCTGCCAGGACTAGGCATTACTCTCTTCTTTGACTAGGCAGTGAGATTAAGGTTTCAGGATGCTGAAAACAAAATAAAACAAAAACCCAAAGGATTTGTACTGTTCTTTAACTTCCTATCAAAGACAATACAGACAACATTAATATATTATCCACATTGCTTCTAGCTTTCTACCAAAGGTGAGATTTCTCTGAATGTTCTGATAGTGCTGGACTACCAAATGTGTCCTTTTAAAGTGTAGACATATAGAGACTGATCAGCAGCTTGAATCCAAGCTTTAAGGGATGGCTAGGCCACTGTTTCAAATAGAAATGCCAGGCCTATGATGAAATCCAGTCATAATCTACCTGCTTGTTTCATCGAGAACAGTAAGAAGCAAGGTCTTCTGTTACTCTACAAGTAAGTGTGATTTCTAAACCATAAGGAGCTTGCAGTGGGTTGAATGGTGCCCCCCGCCACAAGTCTATATCCTAACCTCCAGAACCTGTGAATGTGGTCTTATTTGGAAAAACAGTCTTTGCAGATGTAATTAAGTTAAGTACCTTGGATGAGATCATCGTGGATTTAGGGTGGGCCCTAAATCCAGTGCAGGTAAGAGACTGGCTATGTAAAAAGTGGTCAGACCATATATAAATACAGCACTTTCACCCACAACGTGCAGCAACCAATTCAGGAAACCAATCCGCTATCTACAGTAACCAGACTAGGAAGCCATACTGCTATCTATGTCAGACTTGTAGGAAGCCAGACCACTATCTCTAATAACAATTCCAGAAGCCAAACAATAAGTCCTATAACAATTGGCCCCAAATGACCAGTATTTGATGAATAACTAACAGCTTCCCTACTTGGGGCCAATCAGAGAAAGCCAAAATGTACACTCTTAACCAATCACATAGGATGTCCTGCTTCTAGTTAGCCTACCTACAGCTTCCCCATGCCAGTAGCCTCCAATCGGGATATACCTGAAGATTTCCCCTTTTTCCACTCTTAAAGCTTTCCTACTCTGCCAACACACAAGTGATGGCTGACTCCCTTGCCATAGCAAACTCTGCATAAATAATTCTTTGCTTGTTCTCATATGGCTGGTCATTATTTCCACACAGGTGTTTTTACAGCAGAAAGGCAGAGGGAAATTTGAAACTCAGACACACATTAAGAAGACCATATGAGTATGAAGACATAGAGTCCCAAGTCACACAGTTATATACTATCAAGTTCATCCTTATAAAGTGTACACTTCAGTGTTTAATTGACTTTTTCAACTTATTACTAGGCTATGGGTTCAGACTGCATCAATGAGAGGGTTTCTTTTGTATGAACAAAATGCTACGGAAGAAGCAATTAATTCTGCCTGGTGAGGGAATGGGGATTCAAGGAAAGTTATGATTGAGGTTGAAAGATCTTAAATAAGTAGCAGTTAGGTAAGCATAAAAAGAGAAGGGTGTTCTAAGTAAAAGGAATAGCATATGTATGGGATAAAATCTTGTAGCTCATCCAAGAAACAGCCTTTAGTTTGAGTGGCTTGGGAATAAGGCAGTTGTTTTTCAAACCTAATTATGCATCTGAATCATCTGTATAGATTAAAGCAAAATAAACAGCAAAGAAAAACATGCCCAGACTTGACTCCCAGAGATTCTGATTCAAATGTATATCGAGTGGAGTCCCTAGATTTAGTTTTAAGTTCTGCTTGTAGTTCTGATGTACAGCCAGGAGAACCACTGGAGTGGGTCAGTGGAGATGAGGTAAGAGAGTTAGATGAGGGTAGATAGTCTAGGAGCAAATGGTGAAAGGAAATGGTACGTAAATACAACACAATGACAAACTATCTCTTCCCTGACAGCTTTCCTATTTTGAAATATTTTTAAATTTTTTACTGCCACTACTGTTTCATGAAAGAAAATGAATTCCCATCATTGTCTATAAAAACAGGGATAAATGTTTTAAACCAGTGTTGTAACTCAAAAGATCTCTATTTTGCTTAAGGTAATATTTAACATAAAACAAACTCAGAGAGTCTAGAGTGTACCTTCTGATCAGGTGTACCATCTACCGCTCAGGGCTCTTAACAAATGCCCCACAAAAATCATGAAAATACAAATTGTGACAAAAATATCTGTGAGGGATACTGAACAGCAAGTTCCTATTCTGGGTTGGTGATCCCATTACCTAGTCAAATAGAATGGAAGCACTTGCCCACCTCCAAGTGCTCTTCTAAACTCCTAGATATCTAGGACTCTTTCTCTTTCAGGCAAAACTTCTTCAGCACTTATTGTCTGAGCAACAATAAAGACAAAAGGGACCTCTCCTTCCACCATAACCAGTTCCACAGGAAGCAACCTTTCTCCTACTCTTCAATGGCTGAACAGATTGTCCCTTTATCTTAGCACCTGCCCTCCATGTAGTAGTAGCTGTTTGCTATTTCTAAATAAACGTTATACTCTTTGAGGTTAGACAAGGGATGCTAATTTATCACAATTCTAAGAGTTACTGTCTTCTAATTTTCTACCAGTGACACAGATTTTTAAACGGCCTGACAAGTCTTTGTCAGTACCAATAAAGGAGCTGTAAAGAGTGTTGGTCCAGTCAGCAAGTAAGGTGGAATCTGCAAAAAGGCAAAGGAAGGTTCAACCCAAGTGTTTCTGGGAACAAAAAAACCACACTGTAAAAAACACCAAGCACAACAAACAAACTCCACCCAAGGAGGCCGATTAGTTGAACCCTGGATGGGGCGAACTGCCAAGGGATAACACAGGCTGTCTCAGGGTTGGGCTCTGGTGATTAAACCAAGTTGTCTGACCCGCACTGCGCGTCCTCAAGCGTTGGGGGAGAGCGCTTCCATTCGCAGAAGGGAGTCTGCCATCTGTTCCCCGGGTCGCTCCCGCCGCCCTGCTCCCCTCACCGACTCGTTCCCCTCACCTGGCCCGCTCTCCCGCCGCCCTGCTCCCCTCCCCGGCCCATCAGCCTTCCAGCCGCCCTACTCCCCTCACCGACCCGCCCTCCCGCCGCCCAGCTCCCCTCACCCGCCCGCAAGCCTCTCAGCCGCCCGGCTCCCCTCAGGGGCCAGCAAGCCTGCCAGTCGCCCCGCTTCTCTCACCTGCGCGCCCGACGTCCCTCCCCACTCAAGGGCCCGCCCTCCGCCCCGCCCCCGTCACGGGCCCGCCTCCCTCGAGCGCCCCTCGTGGCTCGCCGCCCCGGCCCCCGCCAGCTGACCCGGCGGGCGCCTGCTAGAGGGCTCTGGTTCCTGTTTCTCTTACCTCAGCGGGGCGGCGGAGGACGGCCTCGACGGGCTGCGCTGACCCGGAACTCCTGAGGCGGCTGCGAGGGCCGGCGCTCGGCTCCTCCCGGGCTTTCCCCGCGCCTCTCGGTGCCCAGCCCTCTTCCCCCGAACTCGCTCGTGCCTCCCTGCGGGTCGCTGGCCTGACCCAGCCCGGTCCTCCGCAGTCGCGGGGCCCCAGCCGTCGTGCCCACGCCAGGCCGGGCGCCCGTGGTCGGTCGGCGGTGAGGTGGGTGCGGTGGGGCAGGCGCTGCTGCGGCGGAGTCGCGGGGTCGGGCTTAGAATTCCAGGTGCCACGCTCGTGGCTTCCGGGTTCCGTCCAGGCTGTGGGCGGCGGGTGGCGGCGGCCGGGCGCCTCGGAGCTCGCGGAAGACTGAGAGTACGAGCCAAGGCGGAGCGCCGGCAGGCGGTACGGGGAAAACTGCCTGCGTTGTGCGTCGGTGGGTCAGAAAGTCCCAAGGGGGCGGGTGGAGGCGGTGGAGGCGCCAGGGCTGGTGGGGACGCCAGGGCAGGTGGAGACCGAGCGCAGGACCGGGCGGGGCGGGGAGGACAGATGCTTTTTGTGGCATTTCCCAAGGCAGAAGGGAGTATGGTCGTCACCCCCCTCGCTGCTCTCGTTTTTCAAAATTGGCGAAATGAACCTCAGTGGGAGCCCAGTTCGGTACGGAGTGGAGGTTGGGAGTGGCTGCAGGAGAAAAGCGTCCCGGGCCAAGGGGGTCACCACCAAAGGCGGCCCCTGAAGAGAAACCGACTGCCAGGGCTGGGAGGGGAGAAGATCCGCGCCGGGGAGAGCGGGTGATGGTGGTGCTGGTACCGAGTAAGGAAGAGGGGGGTAGCACGTCTGATCCAAATCACTCACCTGGAGTGCTGTGTAAATCCTGGAATCGTCTCAGCTTTTATCCCCTTAAAAAATGTATATTTTAGGTGCAGCTCCCATTAACCTATTGAAGGCCCCGATATTTCATATGAAGGGTATGACCTAACATGCCAGTCATGTCCGGATTAATGATATACATATAAGATAAATTGACACCCTGTAATTAAAAAGCAGGACTTTGTCTAAGTTAATAAGTAATTCCCGGGCGCCTGGGTGGCTCAGTTGGTTAAGCGACTGCCTTCGGCTCAGGTCATGATCCTGGAGTCCCGGGATCGAGTCCCACGTCGGGCTCCCTGCTCAGCAGGGAGTCTGCCTCTCTCTCTGACCCTCCCCCCTCTCATGCTATCTCATTCTCTCTCTCAAATAAATAAATAAAATCTTTAAAAAAAATCTTAAAAAAAAAAAAAGTAATTCCCTACTTAAAATTTGCTGTGTGTGAAAAAACGTCACACACACAGAGTAACTGTTGTTCTGCTGGAAAGATGTACAAATCACTTTCACAAAACAAATTAAGAGATGGTTCCACTCATGGTTCTCTTAGGACAAATAATGGACTATCTTTGCTTGGAATCGTCTAGATCTACTATTTTGTTACGTTTTTAGATCAGTGAAACTTTTTTTTTTTTAAAACGTAGGTACAAATTTGTAACTATGAGAAGATTGATATAATTTTGCATTCTTAGGCTAATTTTTCTTTATAGGTGATTTCTAGGAGGTACAGAAATCTTTGAAGGGCTTTGTACCATATTGAAGGATGGCAGAAGCAGTGTTGATTGATTTCTTTGGTTTGAAATTTAACTCTCAGAAAAATAGTCATCAGGCATTACTGAAGACATTGAATGCTGTCCGATACCACCATGCTGCCAAGGCCAAGTTTCTTTGCATAATGTGTTGCAATAACATCAGCTGTGAAAGGAATGGTGCACATAATAACTGTGAATTAGAAGCAAGCAATGGATTATCAACTCTCCTGAGAGAATTTGAGACTGTTAGCAATCCTAGTATGGCTGCCTCCTTGTATACTATTAAGCAAAAAATTGATGAAAAAAATTTGAGCAGCATTAAGGTAATTGTACCCATGCACCGGAAGACATTACTGAAGGCTTTTATTGATCAACTCTTCACCAATGTTTACAGTTTTGAGTTTGAAGACTTACAGGTGACTTTGAGGGGAGTTCCTCTGAAACAATCCACTGAAATAGACATGATCACAGCTCAAGAAGTAGAAGCAATCCAGAAAGAAATACAAACATATTTGAGAAGTCTGCCAGCACTGAAAGGAGAGTTAACCATTATCACATCTCCTTTGATCTCAGGTACGTTAAACACTGTTGTTTCTACTGTATACATGAAAAACTAGTCTTTCTTTAGAGCTTGTTCGCCTTTTTTTCCCTCCTTTCTTTTGTAGACTATAGGTTTATGAGCTCATTGGCATCAGTTGCAACATGGGAGTGTGAGGGATGTCAAGGGATATCAAGGGATAGTCCCTTCAGAGCCACCCTTAATAAATAAATTTGTTTTATGCAAATTCAGTTTTAAGACAAATCCCCCAGCCTTCCTTTAAAATGAGATTTATGACCCTAAGCATCTCCTATTTAGAAATTGTGATACCTTAACTCATTGGCACCTTCACAGAAGAATGAAATTTTAGCAAGTCAATCTTACTTCTTGGTTAAATGATATTTAGTGTGGGCTATATGCTGTTAGGAATAACAAAGACAAAGGGGACAGAAGATACTCTGAAGAGCAATAATCCCATGGGGATGGTAAAGAAAACACAAAGTCATATGTAACAAGAACACATGAGGTACACAGTGCTGTAGAAATTGGAAGCCAGGAAAACATGCAGCTTGAGGTGATCATAGAAAGTCTTAGTGAGACACTGGGTTTGTAACATTTTATAGTCTTTTGTATAGTATATTTTTAATCTTTATTACTTCTATTCAACAGATATTTTCTTACATGGATTTACTACAAGAACAGGTGGAATATCTTACATCCCAACTCTTAGCTCATTCAATCTCTTCAGTAGTTCCAAAAGGAGAGATCCCAAGGTCGTTGTTCAAGAAAATCTGCGTAGGTTGGGGAATGCTGCAGGATTTAATGTGGAGAAATTTTACCGAATAAAGGTAAAATTTTGTTTCATGTTTTAGAATATCTAAAGTATATTCTTGACTGTGCTAATGACTACATGGACTTTAATCAAGCTATTTAACTTTTGCATCTTGTGTTTTATCTAAAATTTTAGGATAATGCTTATGGTTGTTTTTCTTAGATCTGTACACTATAGCCTAAAAATCAATTCTATGATAGGTATCTTTCACCTGAAGTTCAATGTATCTAAAAGTACAGTCAATTCTTATAGTACCACTGCCCTTTTTGATTTAGAAGGAAGATTCCAGAATGGTGGGAAAGGCCATTATTTTCTAAATCAGCATTCGGAGGAACTAGGATCTCTATTGATGCTTTGTTTCTTACAGAATTCTAGCTTTATTTGGGTCAGGAAAAGTAAAAATATCTTTAATTTGGTAATTAATTTAACTTCTTTCCATAAATAGTACTTTATGGAAAGTGCTGCGAGATTTACCCATCTCTAGTAGGAGATATTTGTGATGGACTTTATTAAATTGTTAAGTGTTAAAGTCTGTTTTCCTTTGCATAAAATATGCAGAGATTATAATACCAAAAGTTAAATGACAAGTAAGTTTGGTATTTTACCATATAAGTGATATTTTTAATGCTTATTAGTAATATTAAACTAGTTATATAATTTTATACAAAATGAGCATTTTCAGAAAAAGCTTATGGTATGAGAAATTCTTCTTTCAAAATATTTTTATCACACATCTTTGGTATTAGACTGATCATGCCAGTGATGTCTGGATTATGGAAAGGAAGGAACCTGAATCTTATGATGGAATCACCACAAATCAGAGGGGAGTCACAATAGCAGCTCTTGCTGCTGACTGTATACCAATTGTTTTTGCTGATCCTGTCAGGAAAGCATGTGGTGTTGCTCACTCTGGTAAGTATACTTAATTAAGCATTTAGGATTTTACCAGTTTTGTAGTATAGGAAAAATTATAATTTCTTTCTGCTGGGCATGACAGTTAATTACTTTACATGGTACTAAGTGTAAAAATAGGGATAGAGACAGGATACTTTTATTATAGGAGCAGATAAAAGCAGTACCTAAGTCAAATTATGTGAATCAGAGTAGAATTCCCAAAGGAAGCAATACCCAGGCTGATTCCTGAGGAATTTATAGGACTTGACTAGGTGCCAGGGTTTCTCAGCAGGGTCGCTATTAACATTTTGGGCAAGATAATCTTATATTGCAGTTTGCTTGGCTTTCAAAATTCCTAATGCCAGTAGCACCCCCAGTTGTTGTAATAACAACAAAAAAAGCTCCTACATGCTTTTCAGAGCACTCCAAAGGGAGTGGTACTGCCTCTGGTTGAGAACCCTTGAAGTCTAGGCAATGGGGAATAGGAAGATAAGGCATGTCGGAGAAAGGTATTCATTGAAGATGAAGGTGCAGCAGCATGTGTAGAGGTATGGAGTTAAGAAGCAAGATATGTTTGGAAAACTGCATTTATTTTAATATGTTATAGTCTAGTGCCTTTAACTATTCTGTAAAGTTAAGAACAAAGGATTTTTAAATATTGTGTTAAGGTTATGGAATTTTGTTTCTGAAGGTATTTTAAAATGCTATTTGGATTATCCTGTGGTTATAACTTTGTGAAATGAGGGATGATCTTTTAGAGTTCCTTCTGCTTGTAAATCTCTGACTACTTTGCTTTTTAGACCAAAGATAAATAAGGAAGTGGCATATTTTTCTTTTGATCTAGCTAAACTTATAGGATTGGATGACTAGCAGTGAGATTTATGATTTGACAGTATCAAAAAGTTATTTAACATTTGAGTCTTATTTCCTAGATACAAAAAGAGAATCTTATTTGTTATTTCTTAGGTTTTGAAACATTATTTTTAAATACCAAAGATCAAAGCTGTCAAAATGAAACACTCTTGAATGAAGTTAAAGGTCTGACACTTTCTGATTTTTAAAACTTGTCATAAAGCCACAGTAATCAAAACAGTATGGTACTGGCATAAAGACAGACATATAGACCAATGGAATAAAAGAAAGTGCCCAGAAATAAACATTTGCATATATGATCAGAAGATTTTAACAAGGTACCTAGAGTATATACAGTGGGGAAAGGACAGTCTCCAACAAATAGTGCTGAGAAAACTGGATATTCACATGCAAAAGAATGACGTTAGATCCTTATCTTACATCATATATAAAAATTAACTCAAAATAGGTTAAAGACCCAGCGCATGGGTAGCTCAGATGGTTGGGCATCTGCCTTCAGCTCAGGTCTTGATCCCAGAGTCCTGGGTTCAACCCCACATGAGGCTCCTGGCTGGCTCAGCGGGAAGCCTGGTTCTCCTTCTCCCTCTTCCTCTCCCCCTGCTTGTGTGCTCTCTCTGTCTCTCTCTCTCTCTCAAATGAATAAATCTTTAAAAAAAAAAATAGGTTAAAGACCTAAATGTAAGAGCTAAATCTATAAAACTTATCAAAGTGTAAATCCTTGTGAACTTGGATTAGGCAATGGTTTCATAGAAACAACACCAAAAGCACAAGAAACAAGAGTAAAGACAGATAAATTGGAATTCATCAAAATTAAAAAACTATGCATCAAAGGACACAGTCAACAAAGTTAAAAGGCAGCCCATGGAATGGGAGAAAATATTTGCAATTCATGTATCTGATAAGGGGTTAATGTCCAGAATATATTAAGAACTCCTACAACTCAACAACAGAAAATATCAACAACTCAGTTAAAAATGGGCAAAGGGCTTGAATAGACATTTCTTCAAACATGATAAGCAAATGGCCAGTAAGCAAATGGTGAAAAGATGTTTAATGTCACTAATAATTAGGGAAATGCCATCAAAACTAATGAGATATCACCTCACACCCATTAGGATAGCTAATACTAAAAAAAACAAACAAAAAATAACAAATGTTGGTGAAGATGTGGAGAAATTATAACTCTGATGCACAGTTGGTGGGAATGTAAAGTGGTAAGCTGCTATAGAAAATAGTATGGTAGTTCCTCAAAAATTTTAAAATAGAATTACCATATGATCCAGCAATTCTACTTCTGGGTGTCTATCCAAAAGAATTGAAAGCAGGATCTTGACAAGATACTTGCACACTCGTGCTTATAGCAGAATTATCCATAATAGCAGAGAGGTGGAAGCAATCTAGGTGTCCCTAGATGGATGATTAGATAAGCAAAATGTGATATATACATACAATGGAATATTATTTAGCATTAAAAAGGAAGGAAATCCTAACACCTGAATGAAGACCTTGAGGACATTATGCTAAATGTAATAAGTCAGTCACAAAAAGACACTGTAAGATTCCACTTATATGAGGTATGTGAAGTAGTCAAATTCATAGAAACAGAAAGTAGAATGGTGGGTGCTGGGGTGCTGGGGGAAAGTGGTGAGGGGGAATTGTTATTTAATGGGCATAGAGTTTTAGTTTTGCAAGATGAAAAAGTTCTAGAACTTGGTAGCACAACAATGTGAATATATTTAATACTACTGAAGTATACACTTAAAAAGAGTTAAAATGGTAAATTTTATGCTATGTATATTTCCCCCCCAATTTAAGAAAATGTGAATAAAAAGTGAAGGAGAGAAAGAAGACTAACATGGTATAATCCCAGTGGAAACTGAAAGTGTAGAATATTTTTAAAGGAAGTGGAAAGGACCTCCCATTAAGTATCTCTCCCATGTCAGATGCTTTGCATAGTGTACCTCATTTAAAAACCAGTGTTTTAGTTAATTGATTACTTAGCTTAATTAATTGATTTTGTGATTCATTTGCTATTTCTGACTTTGAAAAAAAGAAACTGACTCTGCTCATTTTTAAGTTAGATATAAATCAAGGTGAAATGTTATGTTTTAACTTCCCTTATCTCTTTTTCTTCCTATTTACCAGGTTGGAGGGGTACTTTGTTAGGTATTGCTATGGCTACAGTGAATGCTATGATCACAGAATATGGCTGTAGTTTGGAAGACATAATTGTTATACTAGGACCTTCAGTAGGACCTTGCTGTTTTACTCTGCCAAGGGAATCAGCAAAGGGATTTCATAATCTTGATCCTGAATGTGTACGGTTATTTGATTCACCAAATCCCTGTGTTGACATTCGTAAAGCCACCAGGTATGTTTGATTTCATTCCAGAACTGCAAGTTTGGTTATTGCTTATTGTTTCTAAAATGAAAATTATTTTAGACAACAATTAGTAACTCCAAGAAAAATTGAGGTGGTGGATAAATAAGTAGCTGACATACACATATATATAAAAACTTATTTTGATTATGAAATATATTCTCATCTACATTTGACTAACAAATTTTCCTGTTATCTCTTAATTGACTTTAAAGTGAAGGAAGATATATTTGGCATATAGTTTTGAGAGATCTACTTAAACTTCATATAGAAAAGTTGCATGTACTTCATAGCCCTTCTTCAGCTAAAATCTCTAATGTAATAAACTATCAGATGATATTTTAAAATTATTTTTATTCTCTAATTAACTAGAGGAATATATTTCTTAGCAAAAATGTTAGATAATATAAGCACATAGTCACTTTCAAGCTTTTTATGGTCCCTTTCAATTTTGAATTATGAAATTTTGCTATTAAAAGCCATTATTTGTCTTTTCTAAAAAAGAAAATTGTCTGATCTGAGTTGTGTTTCTATTCGTCAACAAAACCTTGCCCAGATTCTGCATGATTTAGCACAGTAGAAAGGATTGAAGTTGATTCTTAAAGGTAACTTGTGGAAATAGTATCACTAATTTATAGTCATATTTCATATTGTAAAGTGTTACGGAGAAGCAACTTCTCTGTGAAAAATTTTTTAATAGGAGGACAAGAGATGGGAAGGCCAAATGACTAAAAAGCATGCTCTGTCTGAACCAAATGAATCTTTCTGCAAATACCCTGGTAACTTTAGAAGTTTCTTCTAAATAAGTACTTGATTTTGATTATAAAATTCTGTACCCAGGTCATGTCTGCAGGACAATATAGAAGGTTTTACAGTTCATATATGAACTTAGATTAATGGTGATAAAATCTTCCATTTCTTGACTTTTTCATGTTTTATATCTGTAAACCAATTTGCATTGTTTCAAGCAAATCTTTCCCAGAATTCTTTTACACCAGTATCCATATGTATATATTTTTTACTGCTTTGGCTATTGATAAAATAAACTCTTGGTATCTTTTGCAAAATCTTTATCCTAAGGATTCTTCTAGAACGGGGAGGAATTCTACCACAGAATATCCAGGACCTGAACCAAGATCTTAACCTCTGTACATCCTGCCATCCTGACAAGTTTTTCTCCCATGTCCGAGATGGCCTTAATTTTGGTACACAGATTGGCTTCATATCAATTAGAGAATGAGGTACAGTAGGTTCTTTCTCTCCCTTTACTTCTCTCCTTCCTGTTTCCACCTTTCCCTCCCCTCATTTTTAAAAATAACTAATTATATTTAACTTTACCCCTTTATTCTTGGAGGAAGAATTAAGTTTCTACTTTTTAGTGAAGCAATAGAGGTAGAAAAGTTAATTTTTAGGGGCATGCTCTAATATATAGAATAGCCACTCCTTTTCCTAGTTAATCAAGAATAATCAGGCCAGCATTTAGAATAAATATAAAATCATTTATTTAAAAAATCCTGTATGTATACCATTTATCACCTATGTACTTGACATCAGTATATTTCCTATCATAACACCTTTATACCTTTCTTTTTTATTCTTTTGATTTTTGAGAAGAAATCTTTGCATAAAGATTTTAAATTCTAGGATAATAAAAAGTCCTCACATATCCAAACTGGCTTGGTTTTCAACTAGATTTGCAACTGATTATCTATAGCAAGGGTTGGCTAATTTTCTTTAAAGGGTAGATAGTAAATATTTTAGGCTTTGTGGTACATACAGTCTCTGTCTCAACTACTTAGCTTTGCTATTATAGAGCAAAAGCAGATATAACAACACAAACAAATGAGTTTGACTGTGTTTCAATAAAACTTTATTTATAAAAAACAGGTGAGGGGCCAGGCAGGTTTGGCACACAGGCTATAATTTGCTGATACACGATCTGTAGTCATTGAGTAAGACTGAGTATAATTTCATTAAATTAGTATTTATTTCAGATTTTTTTTAGTTATACAAAAATATTTCATGACAGTGATTTAGTGCTGACCCTTTAGCATATATCTAATTTTCCTTAAGTTTACTCTTAACTGAATTAATATTATTTTTAATCTTCACAATGTCTTTAACTCTTTAATATACAAAAGACTTTAGTAGGCTTAATGATCCTTACCTTGATATTGTAATAGCACTAGTAAGAATCTTATATTTGTTTTCTATGTATTTTTACAGATACTTGACTGGATTTTTATACAACTATTTCTTGCCTCCTTCTAAACTGACTACAAGAGAGAAATTTAGCTGTTTGATTTACTTAAAACCAAAAGGATTACAATGGATAATTCATCTTTAGGTATATTTTCACTATTCTCCAAAGCCAAATGACTTTCACTTGATTCTAGTAAAATCTAGATGAGGATTAGTCTTAAAGTTTGTTCTGTTTGTTATATAAATCAGGAATAGGTCTCTTCAGTTCATTATTTACTGGGTACACCCTATTTGTCAGGCATTGTGTGAAACCTAAGTGAATCAAAGTGAATAAGACCTTTTCTCCTTGAGTCTAATGCAGTGGAGGAGATAAACACTTATAATACTTTAATTTTAATAGCAGTGGAAGAGTACAGAAGAAGGAAGGGTTGAGAAAGTGCTATAGAGAAAATGATATATCACATGGACCCAAAAGATGTACAGGCTTTTGATAAATGAAGAACAACCATAACAGGTAGAGGGAACACCATGAAGTAGGGCATGAAATTGAAAGTGTAAAACATGTTCTAGAGAGAGAAGGGTGTAGGCAGAAGTTACTAGAAAAACAGGTTGGAAAGAGATTAGTTAGTCTCAAATGCCATGTCAAAGAGTTTAGAGTTGATTTTCTGGATAAAGAGTAGGCATAAAAAGTAGGGGAGTGTTTTTATTTCCTTAGCGTCATTTGTAACAGGATGGATTTAAATTGTGAGAGACCAAAGCAGAGCGACTTTTTTAAGAGGCAAAATACTTTAAAAAAGAAACAATGAAGACAGTGGAATTAAGATGGAGGAGAGTAGATGAAGAGATATTTCAGACATAGAATCAGTAGATCCTCTTAATAAATAATGAAGATGACAGGTGAGGAAGAGTGGAGAAGTCATTGATGACTCCAAGATTTCTGCTTGGTTGACTATCAACAACAGCAAAAAGGGGAAGGAAGATGTTTGGGAAAAGGGAGAAGAATAATGAGTTTGACATGCAGACTGAAGTATATCCAGATGGAAATATTTGGTCAATAACTAGAAATACAGACGTCACATCTTGGTGGGAGCTGAGAGAAAGATACAGATTTAGAAGTTGGCTATGCAGAGATGAGGCCTGAATCTGTTGGAGTAGGCTGAATCATCTAGACAGAACTACAGGGTGAGAAAAAGGAGGTTCAAGTGTGAAACCTCATATAAACCTACATTTGAAGAATCAGAAGCTGAACCAGTAAAAAAAAAAAGATGAATCATTAGAAATAAGGGGGGAAAAAACAGAGTATACTTATTTTGAAGAAAATAGCCAGTATGAATGTAAGAGGTACTCAGAATTTCCAGAGATACAAGGTACAAGAAATTTTCAGAGATAGAATAAAATGAGGACTGAGAAGGAAGCCAGTGGATTAACCATATCAAAGCTGTTCTACAAGCAATGGTGGCAGAGTCTGATTTCAGTGCATTGAGGAGGAGGATGCATAAGTGTCCTCTCTTCTTTGATAGTATTTACTAGAGAAAATAAAGTACTGGGGGTTGTATCTCAAAGGAAGGGGTATTTTTTTTTTTTTTGATCAGTACGTTTAAGTATATTTGTAGGCTGAAGAGAGGAGTCAAGCTGTTTTCACTTGGGAGAAAATGGTGTGACATGTAATATATGACATGTTATTTTTAATGTGAGTAGTTATATTGCATCTTAAAAAATTTTCTTATTATACATTTGTTTCTAACTGAACATGTAGTAGAATAATGCAAAATTACGTTTGTTAGGTATTTACAAAGGACTTTTACATACATTATCTCATTTTACCTTTATAGCTACTCTGAAATACATAGGTCAGTTGTTACTCTTTTTATTCAGGTGAGAAAACAGTCTTGTTGGAGCTTAAAATCATATAATTTGTGGTAAAATAAGATTTGAACCCATATCTTGTGACTTAAAATCTCATTTCAGATTTTATAGTTAATCAAAGCTATCTAAGTTAATTTTTATTTTCAACTTTTTGTTAATATCAACCATTCATACATTCAGCCAAATTTTTGTTGAGATACAAGGATAGGTTAAAAAAAATATAGTCGTAGCCTTTCAGATGTTTAATATCTAGTGAAAGGTGGCAGTCAATAAACCAGCAATTTCAATATTGTGATTTATGTTGTACAGCTGTCGCAACCTGATACCTTATTTAGTTGAATTCTTCTAAGCAACTCATAGCTCAGTGTAAAATTTAAATAAAATACCTCATTTCTTCCAGTTGGCGAAAGGCATTAAACACAAAACATAGGACAATAATTTCAAACTCATGCAAAAAACTTTTCTGTTTAATGATAACTATAAAGATAAAGAATAATTTCACACATTTAGAAAGGTTGATAATTTTCCAGTTCTGTGCATTATTTTTTTGAAGTTTACAAATTTACAGGAGTATTAGGTGGCTGGGGCACCTGGGTGGCTCAGTCAGTTAGGTGTCTGCCTTCTGCTCAGGTCTAATCCCAGGGTCCTAAGATTGAGCCCCATGTTGGGCTCCCTTTTTAGCGGGGAGTCTGCTTCTCCCTCTGCTCCTCCCCCTGCTCGATCGTGCTCCCTCACCCTCTCTCTCAAATAAATAAAATCTTTAAAAAAAAAAGAGTATTAGGTGGTATTTCACTTTATGTACCAAAATATTCTAAAACCAAATAAAAATTATATTTGATTATCTGTGATTTTAGATTATCTGCGTCAGAGTATTTAATGAAAAGTCTCCTTGCTGTTTTACTGAGTGAAAAATACAGATTCATAACTCAGAAACATAATGACTAGGTTGTTAAATCATCATATCTTATCTCTATAAGATCTCTGTCACTCTCAAGCATTTATATATAGGTTTCTGGGACTTTGGGGGTACAATCACAATGATAATTTTTATTTTTAGTAAGTTTTGTTTTCAATCTAAGCACTGCTACTAACTGCACATAGGAAATATTGGTTGTCGTTTTATTAAGAAGAGGAATTAAGTTTGTAAATCAGATAAGAGTTCATGACTTGATTATTTTGGAGGTACTAAGTATCAAACTAAAATTTAATTGTAATTTTAAATTGTGAATAATAGCATAGTGACTAAATATGCTATACTACAGTGCTTTATAAAACAAATTTAAAAAGTGATCTTTCCACTAGGAGGCAGTATTTCTACAAGTAGCTCTGCTCTGTTTCTTGATATAAAGTTGAACCAATCTATTCTCTGTATTTAGTTATACCAAAAAAAAAAAAAAGGAGGGGCATTTAAACTTAATGAATGTATTGGTCCTACTTTATATGTAAATATCTTGTAGTTCAAGTATATAAAAGCATTTAGGAACCCTCACCCAACTGGAACTATCTCACTTCTACAGAATCTCTAGTAACTCTTTCTATAAGTAGATTTTTGGGGGAAAAATTCACAGAAGCTTATTCTATGACACATGACAAAAACATAAATAATACCCACCAATTCAGAAGCTGAAAGATAAGATGTCAGTTACATATGAATTATATCATTTTATATCCCAAAGTGGATTTGATATGGTTTTCACTTGGTTGTCCTAAAGTTAGAATATATCCATCCTACAAAAAAGTGAACTCTTAGAGAATGCCACCAACCTATGGAAGTTCAGGCTTTCAAGAAAGCACTGCTCAGTTATCTATGTGTTTGTGTGTGTGTATGTGTGGATCTGAGTGTTCACGCTAAATGGCAAGCAAGAAATCTGTATGTGTTATATATGATACATAGCCTCTGCCCTAAATGTAAATTCACACAAAACATATTGGATGCAGTGGAATTAATAGATTTCTTTCTATAAAGTTTTTGTAAATTGTGCAGTAAAGAGTGGGAATCATGGTTTATGTGCTTACTGTATATGTTTATGGGAACTATGGTCTGGCGCACCTACGTTTCCATTGTAGGCAGTGTTTTAAAACTTGTGATTTCAGAGACGGGGCAGCTGCTGCAAATACTGCATTATTCTGTGCTAGATACTTGCTTAGTGAAGGAATTAGAATCTGCCAGTACTACTTTTTCCAGGTTAACACATTTAGTTTGGACTCATGATGATTGCATGTCGATTTTGTGGAGACAGACTTTTCCTACTCTCCTTAGATGCATTTTTTTTTTTTTAATGGAGAAATAAATGCTTACATCGTATTTCCCGAGTCCTTGTGCCACATGCCGGTGGTAAACTATGTCCTTTCTAAATCTGGAGCAGGCTTTTTGTTTTATTTAATTCTCAGAAGGCTGGGGTGTTCAGTTATGTATTTTATTAAACAACTAAAATTTCCAGCAGACTCTTTAGCCCAGAATATCACATTCCTTTCTAACAACAACAACAAAAAGAGTATTTTCATTTCATGAGAAACATTTGTGGAAAATAGATTTGTTAATGGTAACAATTGAGTTTTCCATTTTCTTAATTCTTAGTTTTGCATTGCACGTTGCTTCAATTTATATCTTACACATACTTCCCTATTCCTTTACTTTCCTTAAGTACGTTTTAGAGTTATATTTTCTTACCCCCATCATCCTTGTTTTCATAATTGATGTTTCATATTCATAAGGTAACTTAATTCTTTCAATTTTATACTTTCAAGTACATATTCAGACTTGGGTATAAAAGTTCCTTGTTGGACATATCCTATGGGCCCCTCAAAACAATATCCTCCAAGTTACCATTTTCCCTCCAAAATTTGTTTCCCTCTCATGTTCTATCTCAGAGAATGAAATCATTTTCCATGAAGTTGCCCATCCAAAAATCTTAGAGTGTTTCTGAATGTCTCCCTTTCCTTCACCTCTTCTTTTCCTATGCTTCTACCTTTGTAAATCTATCATCCATTCCTGTGTCTCTGTCACAACTGCCAGATATTCAGATCATCATGTGTCATGTGCATCATTTGAGCAGCCTTCTAACTAGTCCTTATTGAATCCCTTCTTTTACTGCTATTATTGATTATTCTAAAATGCAAGTCTGGTCATATTACATCCCTCTGAATTATTTTATGGCTTTTCCACTGTCCCCAAGATAAAGACCTGCTCACTGACTTTTATAAGTGCTATTATGATCTCACCCCTGCTTACCTTTTCAATTTCCACCATTATATCGATATCACATATTCTAGCCATTCTGCATTTTTTTTCATTTCCTAGAATATACATTAAGCTAGGTCAGGTCACAAAGGTTGGTTTGCATTCAAAGATAGACTAGAAGTCAAATTAGGTTTAAGGTTACTTTCACTTAGGCTTTCTACTGAATTAGAAAACAAGCAGCACCAAGAACATATAAACACCTAGGTGAATGGATATAGCACTCCAGTGTCCCCCTAGTTCCTTAGGGAGATATGACCAAAATTCAGTTGTCAATGTAGTATATATTCTGTGAGTGGTATGCCGGTCATATATAGAAGAAGCTCAGTAGTTTTTGTTCCATTAGGCAGGGTGAGGGGCCATGTTAATGTTCAAAGTCTGCCTTCTACCATATAACAAATTTTGCTGTATCTAAACATGAGTAGTTTTTTTTGGATGTCATTGGGTTTACAGCAGGTCTTACCATTATCTTTCATAGTGGTGATTTATCTTGCCTCCTGGCTTTGTACCTATTGCTGGCTCTGTGTGCATAGTTCTTAAACTCATTTTTCTTGAATAACTCATAACCATTCTTTAAGGCTCAGACAAGTGGTCTCTCTTCCAGAACATTTTCCTTGGTCATTTTCCTCGCTAGCATCCTGTGCATCACTTTTTATAGTCCTCAGTGTACTCATTTTTAAATGTTCTGTTTACTTGTCTACTAGTAAATGTAAGCTCCGTCAGAGTAAGGACCAGGTCTTACTCATTTGCTAGATATTTTTAATATCTAGCAAAGATTAACACATTGTAATCACTTATATCTATAGAAGGAAAAAAGGGAGGGAGAAGGGAAGGAATCTTTTAATGATCCAATACAAAGTCCAAAGATAAAGATTATAAAACATTTTGAGGGGGGGAGTGTGTGTGTTGTCATTTTTTACCAAGTAGTTTTCTATCTTCAATATTTAGTTGAATTTAAATAATTGTGATACATTAATGTCTTTTTGAAGAACATCTGTTTTAAAATGTTCAGCCATGTTTCTTTAAAGAAAGAACATCTGTTTAACGTGTTCAGCCATGTTTCTTAAAAACATTGGAATTTCTGGTTTCCAGTTTGTATAACAAAAAAAACACATTACATTATTGCCTTAAAATACGTGTCTTCAGGATGCCTGGGTGGCTCAGTTGGTTAAGCGTCTGCCTTCGGCTCAGGTTACAATCCCGGGGTCCTGGGATTGAGTCCCACGTCGGGCTCCCTGCTCAGTGGGGAGCCTGCTTCTCCCTCTACCTGCTGCTCCCCCTGCTTGTGCTCTCTCTCTGACAAATAAATAAAATCTAAAATAAAATAAAATAAAATAAAATAAAATAAAATATGTGTCTTCTACGGGAATGCCGTATGTTAGAGACCAATATGTATTTTGCAAAACTGTTGATTTTTTTCACTCCTGTAATAATATATTTTAATATTTATTTTATATTACACAAGAGCCATGGTCCCTGATCCCATGGCACTTACTTATTTACATCCTGTTAATGAAATGAATACAACCATTTAATCAAATCACTATGACAGGGATCCAGAGAGTGAAGGTCAAATAGGTAGGTCTTCTCCATGAAAATTAAATAACTTTTCAATAGCTCTCTTGATATTTGAAAGTAAAATAGTAAAATTGTTTTGTTTTGGTAGACTCTCTAGAGTCTTGTTTTGGTAGAATCTCTAGAGCGGTAGTTCTCAACCTTGGCTACATGAATAGAATTACCTGGTAAGCTTTAAAAAACACCCAAAACCAGGGGTACCTGGGTCACTTGTCGGTTAAGCATCTGACTCTTGATTTCAGCTCAGATCATGATCTCAGGGTCATGGGATCAAGCCCCATGTCGGGCTCTGAGGTCGCATGATGGAGTCTGCTTGGGATTCTCTCTCTGCCCCTCTCTCTTCTCCCCACTTGTGCTCTCTCTCTCTCTCTCAAATAAATAAAATCTTTAAATAACACCCAAAACCAATTCAATTAGAATGACAGGTGGGAGTGTTAGGACCAGGCATCAGTGCATTTCAAAGCCAACTTTGAGAACCACGGGTCACCAGGTACTTGTATATCCTCATTTAGTTGAATTTATTTAAATAATGATATATTAATGTAGTATGAAGAAAGAATGTTTGCAATAGAGATCTATCTTCGGGCTTTCAGCCATGTTTTTTGTTTGTTTTTTTTTTTTTTTACCCATCATTAGGCTTTCCTGTTTCAAGCTTGTAGTAAATTTGAGAATATTGAGTCCAATCTGATCTAAATTTAAAGCTTCTCTTCCCAACGTGGACCAGACAGGCATTGCTTGATCCCACTGGAAAAAGGCATACTTCCTTACCACTTACTATATTATAAAAGTGGTAAATTCCCAAAATTCAGTATTCTTATCGTAGGACATAAACTTGTGTACACAAGAATATACCTAGGTCCCTCTCTGGTGCCCCCATGGGACTTTGGCAGCTAGGGAAACTAGCTCAAATGTAGTGTTCATCGTACTTGCTAATTGTGAGTAATGAAGTCTTTTGTCCC